CATTTCAGGTCTATGTTTCTCTCTCACTTCTGACAGCTGGCACGTCTACATCCCCTATAAGTGTTTTCACAGCGAGGAAGGAAAACCTCGAGCAGTCAGTCAGACGTACGTATGTAGGTGTTTACCAGACAGACAGACAGACAGATATATAGGCAGAGAGGAGAGGAAGCCACTTCAGACTATTGACATTTACCTTGTGTTTCACCTTGTAAGTGAAGTGTGTGAAAGTAGCATTACATGGAGGGAGAAACAGGGCGACCAACTGAACACACACACACTGATACACACTCCCTGAAGTGCTTCCCCCCTCCGATTCCTGTTCAGAGTGCTAACCATGCAACCAAGCCATTAGAGCCCCATCGCTGCTGCCTCCCTTCCCTCCCCTCCCACCCAGCGTGGGCCACAGGGCTGAACCTCTCAGCCTCCCCTCGCTGCCGGCCACGGCTCTCCACACGCCCACTCGCCACTCCACCGGCGAGGAGAGGAGTGTGTGAACCGCTAAAGTAGTACCGTGCGATGGCTAAAAGTGTCTCTCTGCGCTCGCACTCACCCTGAGCAGGGAGCAGAATCCATCAAGCCCGGCGCCCCTCCTCTCTAGCCCTGTCTTGGCTCTCCTCCAAGCACACACATAGCCATGCACACGGGTAAACACACGTACACATAAATACACTTACACAAGCTGACAAGTGTCTGCTCCGGCACAGGTTGCCATAGCAACACGGTCAGCAGCATTCCTGCTCTTTGGCTTTGCCGTGCATCACGGCGAGGTATCTGAAGTACACTGGCGCACGCATGTAGCCACGCACGCACACGCCCATCCACAGGACACATACATGAACTCTTATGAACTCATATGTTGGATGACAGGGTTGGCTTTAGAATAATATACTGCTGGTCTTAGAGGTGATTCAGAGTCTGTCACCTGTCTCGACATAATGAGAGAGCAGGGGGGCAAAGAAAATGTCACCGAGAAATACCACCATCTACAGCACAAACACCGCAAATGCATCAACAACCACAAACACCTCAGAACACATGCAGTCGTCCCTCAAATGTATTCAGACCCTTCCATTAAAGAAAAGGCAAAATTCACAAAAGTCACTCAAATAACTCGAAACTAAAAAAAGTAATAATAAATAAAAATTTGCCAAATTATAATTGAGTGAAATAAGACGTTGCTTTTGAATTGTGGTTGTGGAAAATAATCATTTTAAAAAAACAAAACAAAACTGCCCCAGACAAATTAGAGCACTTTGCTGATGAGCAGTGGGCCAAAATTAAAACACCTGTCAACAGGTGCAGAAGTCTGATGGAGAGTTACAGAAAACACTTGATTGCAGTGATTGTCTCAAAGGGTTGTTCATTAGTTTACAGGTCTCATCATGCTTGTTTGCTTGTTTTTGTTCTTTAAAAAAAATAAATAAATAAATCTTTTGAACCACAATTCAACAGCAATGTCATGATTTTCATTCGTTTTTTATTTCGTATTTTGTCAATTTCAACTTATTTCAGAGGACGACTGTATACTATGTGTATGGCAGAAGTATGTGGACACCTGAACATATGTGATTGTTGCACTTCCAGGATAAATGAATGTGATTGGCATTACAAATTAAACAAACAAGTTAAAATGTTTAGTGTATCATGTGTAGTATAGTGCTTTTTTACGGAGTGATTTACATATTAGGGATTCAAACCCTACAAGAACGATTTAAAATACTATCCTACCTGACTATAAAACCTATTAAGACTGAGACTATATGATCGCATTTAAAAACTACATCCTGGATAACCCAACAGTTGTAAAGATTCCTTTTTGGCAAGCAGATGTGTTGTAGTGGAGAGCAAGAACTCCCTTTTAACAGGAATAGAGCTCAAGCAGAACCAGGCAGAGAGAGTTTGGCCATCTGCCTCTACCGGTTGGGCTGAGGGTAAAGGTGAGACAGAAAAGGACAGCAGAGAGACAAGAGAGCGTCAATACTGGACAGATTGGAGAGACCAGTAGCTGAACATCAGGCTCCAGAGCCAGAAACACCTGCACAGAGGTACAAGGAGGAGAGAGAGGACGAAAGAGAGACGACATTCAGGGTAATGACATGCTATGGTGCAAGAAAAGAAACAAAAAGGAAGGAAAGCATGGAGGTATGAGAAGAAAAACAGAGGACACATGTAAAGGCAACAGTGTGAAAATGATCGTTACAGTAAAGCATACTGACTACTTTAAAGAGTAAAAATGAAAAACTAAATGCAAGGAAACAAAGATGAGACTTCTTCTTTTTTAATTTGAAATTGCCAATAATGTAACAGGATTTATTGTGAGTTGGGAGATGGTTCCAGAGCCTGAATGCAATAACCAGGAAGTCATCTGGTATTCAGGCGTGAGTGGAAGAGAAACCATGAGGAAGACCTCAGTGAGCTAGAGGCAGAAACTGAACTTAACATATCAGTAGTGTATTCGGGGGTCAAACTACTAAAGGCTTTAAAAACAGGTTTTAAATTTAACATCTGGCTCAGAGTTCGGGTTGCTGCTCATACAAAAGGGTGCTCCTCAGTAACTGGTTCTTGGCCTTGTGTGCAGGAGCATTGTGATGATGAAATCGTAAAGGGATAACTGCTGTAAGAAGCACACCAGCATCTACTATCTACAACAGCTTTATCATCTGTAGGGTTGCAGGGGAGCTGCAGTCAATTTCAGCCGACATAGGGGGAAAGGCAGGGTACAACCTGGACACACCACCAGCACATCAGAGGGACACTTACACTCAACTTTACAACCAACTAAGAATCAGTTAAGCTACTATGCAGGAAAAAAATCCCAGCTGGAGATTCAAACTAAGACCTTCTGCCTAACCACTAAGGAAGTATGATAGCAGTATAAATACTCCTATAGTGTACCACAAGTCTTAGACCTCTTGTTATTTTCCAGTCAAGTGACATTCGTAAATGTACCCGTCAGAGCTAAGGAAGGGAAGTTTCAGCACCATGGTCAGTGGAGTAAACGCTCCGCAATGAGCACATGTGTCCACTAGAGGGGGCTGCAGGTCAGTAGCATCCTGAAAACCATGAAGTAAACCGCAGTGGAGTGACATCTGACCTCAGGTTTATGTGTAAAGGGTAGGCTTTCATTGTTTTCATTGTCTATACACCGCTTAATCCTCACTAGGGTCGTGGTTGGCTGGAGTCTATCCCAGCTGACTTAGGGTGAAGGCAGGGGACACCCTGGACAGGTCACCAGTCTATCACAGGGCTACACTTAGAGACAGACAACCAAGCACACTCACATTCACACCTACGGACAATTCAGAATCACCAATTAACCTCAACATGTTTCTGGACTGTGTGGGAGGAAGAACCCGGAGAGAACCCACGCTGCACAGGAAGAACATGCAAACGCCACGCAGAAAGATCCCGGTGAGGACACCGGCGACCTTCTTGCTGCGAGGTAACAGTGCTAACCACCGCTCCACCTTGTAGTCCGATCGCTGCATCCATCTAGTGTATGCAGTCTATCTGTACAATGAGTTTTGTGGCTTTGATGGAGGACATTGGAGGGCTGGTTGGAATATTTCCTTCTCTTCTTCCTGGCTGGTTCCTGGTCTGTGTGAGTCCTGAAGGATTTTAGTTGTCTCTCAGTAGCATATCAATGTAATAGCAAAAAAAAAAAACACTTACTTCTCTATGATGTCACCTGCTCCTTTCCCTTTATTTCAAGCAACTGTCAGTGTATTTACCAAATATTCCAAAGAAAGAATAAAACTGTATTCAGAGGAGTTTTAAAATAGAAAATAGTACAGAAAAAACCTTGACTTTTACCTTGAAAGTACTGTATTTCAAACAAGGCTCGGGCTACATTTGATAGAACATAAGCCTTGTTAACCGCTATGTTGCCAAACTTATAGACATTAATATGTCTTGTACCTTTTGTAAACCTAATACAGAAACAGCTTTACCTACGCTTGTGTGTGAAATACTTCCCTTAAATCTGAACTCTCCACTGAAATTTACTAAACAACAGCAAAAGTAACAAGGTTATGAAAAGATATATATAAAAATCCCTGAAACCTCTGACTAAATATGTTATTCATGTCTTTTGTTCTATTATTTGTTCTGCAGTTTAACTAGTATCATGTATGTCTAGCTGCTGAGGTGAACATTTTTAGAACCTTATTTTGTTAAATAAAATATTTAAGCGGCCGTCTGCACCTTTTTTCTAGTCTTTCCCGCTCCTTCTCTCGTGGGTCTTTTGTTTCTCTCTGACATCACTGATAACAGGCACCACAATCCACCAATTCCCAATGTTATAATCATTCTAATGAATTACTGGCAGAGATAGGACCCTCTAAATGAAAGAACCTGATAAAGTGCTAAAACGGGAAAATGAGTCAGCTTCTCAGCTCATGACCGATGTTAGCTTCGTGCTCACTGAAAGGCTGCAGCCGGTAATATTATTAAAAAGGACCTGGAAAGATTGTGTGAAAGCTTCATATCAGGATTTCTTTTTTTTCCTTCTAGCACACATTAGCAGTAAAATATAACCGTGCATATTTAAACAGATTTAATATACTTGATTCTTATTAACAGTATGTTTTATATCGAGTCGTCTCAGAGCTAAAATCGTGTCCTCATTGTCAGGCAGGTCACCATACGTTGGACATGTACGTTTAATTCAGACTGGAATAAATTAGCATGTATAAATTAAAAAGGACTTTAAGATAATAACACAATCTGACACTGTCAAGTAAAAAAAAAACCTGCTGCATGATTGTTAAAAATAAAATCCATTAAAAAGAAAAACACCTCCAGCGTTTACACCAAAGTAACAGTAACACCAAACACTCAACAACAAAATCAAGATCCTGTTAATATGTCAGTGGAATAATTTACATTTAGTTTTAATTAATAGTATTCACCTGGTGACTTCCAATAACAACATGAGAGCAACTTCAGCTTTGGAGTGGTAAAAAAAATAGTTTTTAATTCAATAACAGACGACTAATACTGTGTGAAAAAAAAGTCTTTATTTGGTTATTGTGTGTTAATCTTAGTGTACATTGGTAAAGAGTCTATCAGAGGGGTGCCCCACAGAGCAAGATGGATTAGTCAGTGAGGTATGTTTAACCTGCTGGATCACCATGGTAACTAACACTGCATTAGAGAAGGTTTTGTTCAGAGTTTAGAATTTGCTGTAAAAAGCTCCTGTCTCTCACCAATTCTTCTCCTTTGACTGTATTTTCTCCAGATGCTCAGTTAAAGGATGTACGTTATATCTGCAAACCTGTTGAGCTGCACGTTAGTAATGCCACTGAACGAAGCTGTGCATTTACAGCAGCACAAACTGTTGCCACATGAACCTACACGGATGTAGTTGCTGGCACAGAAATTGCATAAATATTCGTTTTTAGGATCAGATGCGAGCTCAGGTTTCATAGCTCGCCATGACAACAAGGTTAGCAACTACTGTTCATTGTCCCTGATTGGGGTTTAAGTTTTGTCGAGCCAGCTTACACAAAGAAAGCCTGACTATGTGAAGCTTGCTGCATAGTTCACCCCTCTGACGCTAATCTAAGTGCAACACCACACCCATTAAAAGGTCACACAGGTAAGAGGAAATGATATGACATAACTGCACATTATCTCATGTTGTATTGATCTAAGAAATAACTGCATAGATTTAATTAACAACATATTCTCCCAAAACATTTACTCTCATCTGAAAAATACACAGTGTAAACAACAGTAGACCTACATGTCTGCAAAAACAATATTTAAACAACATTGGCAGCAGTTCTAAACAGAACATTTGGCAGACTCGTCATTTGATTAGTCTGGGAATTATTGGACATTAGTTCAACACATTTGTTTTTAAAAAAAGATTTTTTTGGTGCATAGTTACAAAGATATAATAAACAAGCTTTTGAACATAAATGCAGGATTAATATAGCAGCAATCAGTTGTTCGATACATAAAAAATATAGCGACATAATAGCAGAGAATGAAGCCACACTCCCGCTGTTGTCTTTTGGCAGATGGTATGTGGTTCCCTACTTATGAAACTGTTGGCCCTCTTGGTGATAGAGATCTAGAGTGACCTCCCACGCTGTGGTGGAAAAGCCAAAGTGCAAAAACACCAAAACAATTTAAAAAGAAGAATTGGATTCATGTCATTGACTTAAATTATGTGTACAAATGTCATTTCAAAAGAGTGGAGGTGCGTCCGGTGTGTCATTTGTTTTGCTTCAGAGATGCTGGAGCTCTAGCAACATCTAGTGGTTCCAAGTGTTGCACACAGAACCTTTAAGATGTGCTTTTAAGGATTTTAACCACAACACACTTGACTGTAGTGTTGGTCACGGTGCACGTAGCTGACCAGGATTAAATGTGTGAGCTGAAGAACAGTGTAGCTCAGCTGTCTTCTCATCTTTGCGGACAACAGCTGACTGCCTGGTCACGTGACAACATACTTGATCTTTGGTGCTAAGACTGGAATGGGTCCATCCCTGTACCCACACTGGCAGGATTTACGAGTCGTCAACTTGTGTGACATATTTCCAGTAAATGTTGCAGTGACCTGACAAGCATGCAGGATGGAAGTTTATCAGAAAGGTGATCAAATATACCTCGATGCTCTTGAACATGCACTTTACTGCCCATGTATGTTTATGGCTCCCTTTAGTATTTGACCACGGAGTCAAATAGTCAGAGGAAGCACCCGGCATCGTTCACAGCTATGTCAGCATGTACAGGAGGCCACACAAACTGTGCATGTAAGTGTGTTGGTGGTAAAAGGTAGCAATGTGCCAGTGAAAGAGGAGAAGACCTCAACATATACAGTGAGCAAACTAGTGAGTAAAGTCTGCAGGTCCTAAGATAATAAAAAAATGCCTTCAAAATAATCTTCTCTGCTCACTTAGTGAAGTTTAATGAACAGCTCTGCCGTAAATTCCACTTTAATAATAACGTTCAGTTCTGAATGACGCTGGCATTTAATTATATGTTTACAACCACTACCTACTGTACGGCCTCAGAATAGACATACAGCTGCATTAACACTTGTGCTGGAGTGTGTTACATGCATTACATAAGTGCCCCTAATAAACTGGCCAGGGTGTATTTTATGAGGTAGTATTGTGAACCTTGAGAGTACAAACTGGATCTTGGGGGAGGGTTAGAAGACTTTAGACGTAAAGAACATCATGTTTGTTGATTACACTAAATTTCCACAGGGAACCTCCAACCAAGCGACTGTATTCTTATTTGATATGCTTTGAAAACAAAAAAATTCATACTATGGTAGCACCTGGTAAATCACAGACATCCAGTTGAGCATTTAAGTGATGTCGAACCCATTTCATGATTGGCGAAGACTGTGCAGCGTAGATCGTTGGAGTCACCTGTAAAGTGAGATCACTGTTGGCAAGGCAGCAGAACATCCTCAGTGTTTGGAGGGTGAATGCAAATATCTCATCAGACAGATGAACTGTCACTTTGAAGCAGGCTGCTGCTCCTCCATCCCAGCTTGTGTCATGAGCTCAGCCACGTTCTTCTCGAGGTCATCAATGCGGGTTCCCATCTGATCGAGTGTGGAAGTTAAGAAATCTTTACAAGGCAATACGGGAAGAATTTTCATCTAACATCTACATTATATTCATGTTACACAGCCATGTGTATTATAAAATGTCCAAAGCAGCCTTCAAAGGTAAAAAACAAAACCTGTGCCTAACAGCATCTAGAGTACATAGTCATAGGAAAACACCT